GGGAGGGTGTGAGCGCATGCGCCTGCCGTGGGGGCGTGGCCAGGGCGGAAGGACGCTCCGGCCGGGCGGAGGTTACCCCGCGTCTCTCGGTTGCTAGGAGCCGGGCTTCCACCAGCCGGGCAGAAGTTCTGCGGCTTCTTCTTCGCCTCGCTTTCTCCGCTCCTGCTGCTCCCGGCCGAGCCGTGATGGCGGACCCGGAGGCTGAGGTCCTGCGCAGCACCTTTCCCTCCTACATGGCGGAGGGCGAGAGGCTCTATCTGTGCGGAGAGTTCGCGAAGGCCGCCCAGAGCTTCAGCAACGTGAGTTTGGCCTTGGGCCTCTCCATCCGCTTCAGCCTGGACTCCCGGGACGCCTGTGCCTGATTCCTTGGGATCCCCGCCGGGTCAGAGAAGCCCGGGCCTGGGGCGCCCTACCCTCCGCCCTGGGGATCGCACCTGGGCCTTCTCGCTGAGCAGCATCCTGGGCCCCCACGTTTTTTGTTTTTTGGGTTTTTTTTGAGCTAGGCTCTTCCTAAATCACTAAGTCACCTAGGCTGGGCTCCAGCCTGAGATCCTCCTGCCTCAGCCTGCCAGGGTGCTGGGATGACAGTTGTGCCCACCACATGGGACGCTTGGTCATTTTCTCTCAATTTCTACTTGGTCCTTCATTCTCCAAATTAGCAGTGACCTCTCCCTCTACTCCTATGTAAATGTTTTGCGACTTCCGCTTTCAGAGAACAGCCTCGATTTCCAGGCACCAGCTGGGCGCTGCGTGTAGTCTGCCAAATCTCTGGTGCAGTTGCTTATGGGTAGGTGGTCAGTAAACAGTCAGCACCATTAAGACAAGCTTAAAAATGAGGGCTGGAGCTCGGCATCACCACACCTTGAGAGCGGCTGAATGCTGTTTCAGGCCACCAGACGCACTGATACACACAGCCCGCGGCTGGGAACCGGGAGGATTCCCGCTGTCGGCTGTGGTGGTGGGTGTCACGCTCACCTGCGGGCACTGGCACACGCCAGCGCCGCGCCCTGATGGTTTCTCCTTCTCTCCCGGTTGAGGCGCTGTCTTGCTCCGTTTTACAGAGGAGGAAACTCAGTGATGAGCGGTGTGCCCAGAGGTCTGTGGCAGGGGCAGATCCAGCCCAGGCCTCAGGAAGGAAGCCGACCACAGGCTGTGGTCAGGATGTTGTAAGGAGAGAGGGGCCACCCCTCGCTGGGGGTTTGTTTGTTTTCCCAGTTCTGATCCTGAAATGCCGGCAGCTCTCCATTAGCTACAAGCCAGGCACAGCAGGGCCTACCTGTCACCCCAGCTACTCTGGAAAATGAGGGAGGAGGCCTGACATCTGAGGCCAGCCTGGACAACATAGCAAGACCTCCTCTCTCTCCGGAAAAAGCCAGGAGTGATAGCAGTGCCTGTCGTCTCAGCCTTGGCCAGACTGGGCTACAGAGTGAGACCTTGTGTCAAAACAAAACAAAACAACAAACAAACAAAATACACGGGGGATTTAGCTCAGTGATGCCATCGCCTGCCTCACAAGTGCAAGGGGTCCTGAGTTCAATCCCTGGGGAAAAAAAAAAAAAAAAAAGAGTGAAAGCTAGGACAGGCATGTAGCATAGCGATACCATGGTTGCCTAGCATGCTTGGGGCCCTGCGTTCTGTTCCATCCCCAAAATACAAAAAGGCAAAAGCAAGAAAGAAAAGGTTAGTAGTGTGGATAACTCTACCTGCAGATTGTCCCAGAGTCTCTTTTGCTTTCCTTAGCATTTGAGATTTATTCTGAAGAGCCGTGTGCATGGTGGTGCGCACCTGTAATCCCATCATTTGGGAAGCTGAGGCAGGAGGACTGCTGTGAGTTCAAGGCCAGTCTGGGATACATGAGGAGACCCTATCTCAAAAAAAAAAAAGAAAAAAAAGTCGCCTGAGGCCTGGTGTTCCTGGCCACCAAGGGAGGCGGGGCCACCCTTCCGGAAGTCCAACCTCCTGGGCCCTGCCGAGTGCATGGTCCTCCTGCAGGCTCTTCACCTTCAGACGGGAGACAAAAACTGCCTGGTGGCCCGCTCCAAGTGCTACCTAAAGATGGGGGACCTGGGGAATTCCCTGAAGGATGCTGAGGCCTCACTCCAGGGTGACCCGACTTTCTGCAAGGTGGGAGGATGCAGCCCCGCTGACCCTGCCGCTGTATCCCTGGTGACCGCAGCTGAGGAGCCAGTGGGCTACCTGGTTCTGACTTTCTGTCACCACAGGGCATCTTGCAAAAGGCGGAGACGCTGTACACTATGGGGGATTTCGAGTTCGCCCTGGTCTTCTACCATCGAGGCTACAAGCTGCGGCCCGACCGGGAATTCAAAGTGGGGATTCAAAAAGCGCAGGAAGCCATCAACAACTCAGTGGGAAGTGAGTACGGTGGGCCGTGCCCGGGGCAGGAGGGCTCTGGAGTCACCAGGTTAGCGAGGCAGAGACACAGCAGGGGCTGGCAGCAGCCTCTTCATCAGGGTGGCTGTTGCTGATTTTTTCTGTGTTCCTTTGTGCTTGGGACAGGGTCTCACTCTGTAGCGCAGGCTGGCCTTGAACTTGTGATGATTCTGCCTCAGCCTCCCAAGGGCTGGGAACAGGAGTGTGCGTCCGAGGCCAGTGTGAAGCACGGTCTCAGAGGCTAGGAACTACCTGCTTTCCCTCCCGGGGCCCTGAAGGGCTGCTTCGGAGTAGTCTCTGCCTGGAGTTGCAGGGTGGATGGAACCTCTCCCAGCATCCCGGCCCTGGCTCCCTCCCTTCTCCCAGGGGACCCAGGGCTGGTTTCACCAGCAGCTCCTTAGCGAGGGAGCAGGAGGCAAAGGGCACCGCAGACAGGGTTTGTTTGGAAACCCAGCTGCCTTGGCTTTTGCCTGTGGCCGCCCCAGGCCTGGCCCGGCATTGTTGGCACACGCAGAGGGGGGACTGGTCATTCCTAGGACACTGGGCAGCTCAGCCACACCTGTCCCTGCAGGTCCTTCCTCAGTTAAGCTGGAGAACAGAGGCGACCTTGCTTTCCTGAGCAAGCAGGCAGAGGTAGGGCGACATCTTCAGGCCCTCCTGGTGGGCCATGGTTCTGGGCAGGGTCTTGGGGGCACAGTATGTGGTGCGAGGCGGTCCTGGTGCTCCTGGTCCAGCCTGGTGTCCCTGCCCCAGAGCCTGAAAGCCCAGCAGCAGCCCCAGCCCAGGAAGCAGGCGCTGCACCACGTGCAGAGGGAGGCGAAGCCGAAGGGCTCACTCAAGAGCGAGAAGACAGTGCGCCAGCTGCTGGGCGAGCTCTACGTGGACAGGGACTACCTGGAGAAGCTGCTGCTGGACGAAGGTGCAGGCCTTGGTGCCGGGCGGGCACGGGCAGACCCGGCTGGACCTGCCGCCTAGCTTGGCTGCGGGTCCTGGTGGACAGGTTCTTGGAGACAGGGTCCCACTAGGTAGCCCAGGCTGGCCTAGAACTCAAGGCGATCCTCCTGCCTCAGCCTCCCGAATGCTGGGGCTACAGGCGTGCGCCAACACGCCCGGCTTAGACGGGACTTCTCTGACGGTGCTGCGGGACAGAGCAGACCCCCAAGACCACCCGGCACCCCAGCTGACGACCCGGGCCGTCCCCACCCGCAGACCTCATCCGGGGCACCATCCGGAGCGGCGTGACGGTGGAGGACCTCATCCTGACCGGCATCAACTACCTGGACACCCGCAGCAGCTTCTGGCAGCAGCAGAAGCCGATCTACGCCCGCGAGCGCGACCGGAAGCTGATGAGGGACCGGTGGCTGCGAGACCGCGGGCGGACCCCAGCGCAGACCGCGCACTACGTGCTCAAGAGCCTGGAGGACATCGACATGCGTTCGTGGGCGGGGCGAAGGGGCGGGGGCGGG